CATGACAACTATCATACCTTACTTCCTCCTAAGGCTCAGTAATTATCTCTTGGAGCTACTTGATATATGGGCTCTACACTGACACCAAGGAGCCATAAAATTAACCTAACTACGCCATACACTGGACACCGTAACTCATACCATACGCTAGATGCCATTATTCGTACCCTATAGTTCAACAATGTATAGCCAATCACTAATCAGTGTTCTTTTTTTTTTTTTGAGATGGGGTCTTGCTATGCTGCCCAGACTGGTCTTAAAAGTCCTGGGCTCAAGCTATCCTCCCACCTCAGCGTACTGAGTCGCCGTGACTACAGGTGTGAGCCACTGTACCCAGCTAATCAGTGTTATTTCTATAAATCAATGAGTCAAGAAACACCATATCAGCCACTAATCCCAGCACTTTGGGAGGCCGAGGCAGGCAGATTACGAGGTCAGGAGACCATCCTGGCTAACATGGTGAAACCCCGTCTCTACTAAAAATACAAAAAATTAGCCGGGCGTAGTGGCAAGCACCTGTAGTCCCAGCTACTTGGGAGGCTGAGGCAGGAGAATGGCGTGAACTCAGGAGGCAGAGCTTGCAGTGAGCCAAGATTGCACCACTGCACTCCAGCCCGGGCAACAGAGCAAGACTCCATCTCAAAAACAAAACAAAACAAAAAACAAAGAACCCACTTGTAACTTGTAAGGGGAGAACTCACCAAGGCAAGGGAAGTGTTTCCCGGGCAGCTGTCCACACTTTGGCTCAAGTAAACTCTTTAAAATTATATTATCTTCTTCCTTTAGGTCGACAGGTTTTTCGTTTTCCTATTAAAGCAAAACATGAAAGCATAGTAGATATATAGCCCTGAAATTCAAGTTTTATTGCAGGTATCTTTCACATCAGTATTCATAGATCTGAATGAGCCTATAGAATCATTTGCAGTAGCTGAAGAGTATTCCATAGTTTATCCAATCATCTCTAAATGGTGATATTTAGATTGTCTTTCAAAAATATTTTTATAATTGTTGTGGAAAACAAGGACAGCAGATTCAGAATTTAAGAGTTATAAACTGTCATTTATAAGAACTGCACTTCAGAAAGAAGGCATCTGCCCAGATGAGGCAACAAAACTAGTCTTTCTTTTATGCATGAGACTCCCTTCAAGAAATGCCTGGTGGTTAGCAGGAGAGAAATGGTTTCATGATACTTACATAGAGCCCAGGGCAGAGAAGAGGAGAGGGAACACCTTATAATAATAAATTAGCAAATTTTAAAAGGTTCATTAAAAAGAGTGTGGAAAGCATATATTTGAATGAGGTCTGCTGTTTATTTAGTGTCTTTTTTTTTTTTTTTTTTGAGACAGAGTTTCACTCTTGTTGCCCAGGCTGGACGCCATTACTCGCACCCTATAGTTCAACAATGTATAGCCAATCACTAATCAGTGTTTTTTTGTTTTTGTTTTTGTTTTTTTGAGATGGGGTCTTGCTATGCTGCCCAGACTGGTCTTAAAAGTCCTGAGCTCAAGCTATCCTCCCACCTCAGCCTCCTGAGTCGCCGTGACTACAGGTGTGAGCCACTGTACCCAGCTAATCAGTGTTATTTCTATAAATCAATGAGTCAAGAAACACTGTATCAGCCACTAATCCCAGCACTTTGGGAGGCTTAGGCGGGCAGATCACGAGGTCAGGAGACCAACCTGGCTAACATGGCGAAATCCCATCTCTACTAAAAATACAAAAATTAGCCAGGCGTGGTGGCGGGCACCTGTAGTCCCAGCTACTCTGGAGGCTGAGGCAGGAGAATGGCGTGAGCACAATCTTGACTCACTGCAGCCTCCGCCTCCTGGGTTCAAGCGATTCTCCTACCTCAGCCTCCCGAGTAGCTGGATTTACAGGTGTGTGCCGCCATGCCCAGCTAATATTTGTATTTTGGGTAGAGACAGGGTATCACCATGTTGGCAAGGCTGGTCTCAAACTCCTGACCTCAGGTGATCTGCCTGCCTTGACCTCCCAAAGTGCTGGGATTACAGGTGTGAGCCACCACACTGGGCCTATTTAGTGCAATTTTTTTAAATTTAATTCAAAGTTCCCGGATACATGTACAGGACGTGCAGGTTTGTTACATAGGTAAATGTGTGCCATGGTGGTTTACTGCACCCATCAACCCATCACCTAAGTATTGAGCCCCGCATGCATTAGCTATTTATTTTGATGCTCTCCATCCCCCGGCCCCCCAACCCCTGCCACCAGGACCCAGTGTGTGTTGTTCCCCTCCCTGTGTCCTCATTGTTCAGCTCTCACTTATAAGTGAGAATAGAATATTAAGAATCATTTTTGTAAAGACTTTAGTTTTTCCTACCTCCTGATAGAACACACTGTTTTACGGAGCAGCTATTTCTTCCTGTGTTCAAAGTCAGCTGCTGAACACACTGTAGCTTCCTGCTTTTTCCAGAGCAGAACCCTAGACATTGATGCTCATGGGCCCGGAGCCATTTGTTCGGTGGCTGTCCCTAGCACACCACAGGTCTGGGTTAGGTGAGACAAACAAAATTAATCTCTGGTGCACATACCAGCTTCACCAGGCCACAGTGGGCTTTCTCACCGCATCTCCTGCTTGGGGTCTCTGTGCTGCCCCTTAACCTTTTAGAAACCCATAATTTGGGGGCTCTGACCAAAGTCGCCCTTTCCAAGACAAAAACTTCCCACTCTGGAGAAAAGACGCCATCTTGAGGGGAGCGCGTAGCAGGGTGGAGAGGGAGGTGGGGTCTGAGGGAGGCTGAATAAGCACATTAACCCATCACTTCTCTGACCACCTTCTCAACAGGGCTCTGAGTCTCACATCTATGCTTTTCCCTCTAATGTCTTCTCCTCATAGTCTTAACCGTTGCGGTAATGAATTACATTTGCAGAAATGGTGCCACTTTTCAGAAAATATGCATAGAAAGAGAAACTATTGCTATCATGCTTTGGCTGTAAAATGAAATCATTTTACCATCTCTATCCCCAAAAACTCGTCTGTATTTTGCTCCCTCTTCCCAATTCCACTGGGATGTAATCTACCAATTCCTGTAAAGAGGTTAACCACTGGCCACCACAGATTTTCTCGCCTCCCTCCCTCCCTCCAGGTATTTTCCAGGTTTTCCTGATTATAAGAATCACCTGTGGTGCTCGTTAAGCAAATATTTCCCAGGCACGTCCTCTGGAGAGTCCAATTCAGTAGCCTTTGGGTGGGACTCAGGAATCTGTGACATTAATGAGAGCTCCATGTGATCCTTTTGATCAAGGAGTCGGGGAAACATTTTAATCTACAGTGTTATTTCAGATGCCTCGGGTTACTCCTCAAAGGCAACACATGAATCAATACTGTTTAGGTTGATGCAGAAATAATTGTTTTTTGCCATTAAAAGTAGTGGCAAAGGGCCAGGCGCAGTGGTTCACGCCTGTAATCCCAGCACTTTGGGAGGCTGAGGCAGGTGGATCACTTGAAGCTAGGAGTTCGAGACCAACCTGGCCAACATGGTGGAACCCTGTCTCTACTAAAAACACAAAAATTATCTGGGCGTGGTGGTGGGCGCCTGCTACTGGGAAGGCTGAGGCAGGAAAATCGCTTGAACCCGGGAGGCGGAGGCTGCAGTGAGCCGTGATCGCGCCACTGCACTCCAGCCTGAGTGACAGAGCGAGACTCCATCTCAAATAAATAAATAAATAAAAGTAGTGGCAAAAACCACAATCACTTTTGCACCAACCTAGTAATTGCAAATGTCACCCATCACTTGTATAGAGTCTAGGCATTATATTCACCTATTTTAGAACATGGGCTGCAGACATCTAGTTATCTCAAAGAGCAATGAGAGATGTTGAAAAAAATACATTGATCAGGCCTCAGGAAATCTGAGTTCTCCACCTGGCCCCTGACACTGTTGGGGCAAGTTTCCTTGCCTCAGTTTCCCCACTGGGAAACTTACAAGTGCTTTACAACAACAAAACATTCTTATTAGATCACTACTCCCTTTTACCCAGAAGTTTTACTTTGAGGAATTTATCTTGAGGGTTAACCAAGGAAATGTATCAGAATGCTCATGATGTTATTGCTTATAATGATGAAAAATTGCAAGCTACCTTAATGCTCATAATTACGGAAGTTATATAAACACAGATTTATCTCAACATTGAAGACTAGGCCACCCTAAAATGGTAACAGAGAGCTTTATGTTTAATAGGTTATAAAGTGACAGTGGCAGATTACAAAACAGTATTTAAACTTTCCTCCCAGTTTTTTAAAAAATTGTATGTGGTGTTTGTAGAAACATGTCTGTAAAGTTACCCACCTAAATATTAGCAGTGGTACTATTATGAGTGACTTTTGCCTTTTCTCTGTATCCTTCTGTAATTGTATTTTTTTGCTGTAAGCTTAAGCTTTTACACTTGGGGTCAATAAGGGTTCATTCATTTTTTTTAAAGATATTTCATGTGCATTATCAGGGTAACTTCTGCAGTAGCCAGGAGACTAGATGTTACTTAAAAGGTTTTAGTTTAGGTGCAATGACTCATGGCTGTAATCCCAGCACTTTAGGAGGCCGAGGTGGGCAGATCACCTAATTCAGGAGTTCGAGACCAGCCTGACCAACATGGTGAAACCCTGTCTCTACTAAAAATACAAAAATTAGCCAGGTGTGGTGGCACGCACCTGTAATCCCAGCTACTCAGGAGGCTGAGGCAGGAGAATTGCTTGAACCCAGGAGGCGGAGGCTGCAGTGAGCCAAGATTCCACCAATGCACTCCAGCCTGGGTGACAGAGTGAAACTGTATCTCAAAAAAATGTTTAGTGATGTGAACAAGACTTGTTTTTTTCTCAACAAAGCACATGATTCTCTTTCACTCTACATTGCAGTTGTAAATAATTTGCCCAAAAGATCCTAATTTCCCCCGAAGTTATAGGGAAAACACCAATTTACTCACCTGCAGCTGATTTCCGCGAACTCTGATTTCATGCCTGGCCCACAGGGGCAGCTGGCAGAATACCCGGCACAATCTGTCAGGAATCAGAGAGGCCACTTCCTTCCCCAATCCTTCCCTTTCAGCTGGGAGAATGGGAGAAGAGTCAGGTGCCCACAATGGGGAGAGCTTGTTGATGCGACTGGATTCCTGCTATAAAAACACAGAGCAGCCCACCCTCTACCCGGTTGATCTGGTAGTGCCTTTTGCTATGGCGTGCGGGCAGAGAGGAGGCTCTTGGAGACCCTCGGGCTGGTTCAATGCAGGCTGGAGGTGAGTAATTCTGGAAGTGGAGGGAGCGGCTATGATAGCTTTGTTTGTTGAAGTCCATTCTTCTTGACTATCTACCTGTCTTTTTTTCCAGCACTTACAGGTCAATTTCTCTCTTCTTTGCCCTTGTGACTTCAGTGAACTCCATAGATGTTTTTCAGTTGGTAAATCCTGCTTTTCCAGGTATGCCTCTTGGGTGAGGGAAGTCTTCTTAGCAGAGAAAAACAGGTTGCAGCTGGAAGGCCTAGCCGGCCAAGAGACACAGGCCTGGCTCAGACAACCTCCATTCACCCCCTTCATTACCTTGGTCAGGTTACCGGATCTTTCCTCTGCGAACCTGTAGACTTACTATACCTGCTAAATGAAAACTCACAACACCTGCACTGCCTTCCAATCCCTCACTGCCTCAAGCTTTATGGTATCCCCAGAACAGCAAATCACCACAACTAACTTCAAACACAAACTCACGCTTAAGGAAAACATCGACATAACAGGCAAAACTAGAGCTGCTCACTTGACATTCACCTGAGCTGCAGAGTAGCAGATGATGGGCAAAAGCTGATCTTAAAAACAAAAAAAAGCAGCCAGGCGCCGTGGCTCATGCCTGTAATCCCAGAACTTTGGGAAGCCAAGGCAGGCGGATCACCTGAGTTCAGGAGTTTGAGACCAGCCTGGCCAATGTGGTGAAACCCCGTCTCTACAAAAAATACAAAAACTAGCTGGGTGTGGTGGTAGGCACATATAATCCCAGCTACTCGGAAGGCTGAGGCAGGAGAATCACTTGAACCTGGGAGGCTGAGGTTGCGGTGAGCCGAGATCGTGCCACTGCACTCCAGCCTGGGCAACAGAGAGACTCTATCTCCCCCCCCAAAAAAAAAACAAAAAAAAAAACAAAAAAAGGTGTCCTCAGACTTACCCAGGCCTTCGTTTAACGTCCGTTTGCAAAACCTGTTGACAAAGCTTTTGTCAGTATTCCAGACCTGCCTCCATCCGCTCCACTGTCGAGGTGTTGACCTGGCTTCTACAGACCTGCTTGTCAACCCTAACCTGGGCTTCTTCCTGGAATACTTCAAAAGCGCTGGGTGCCTGATATTTTCCTTACAGTTCTTGGTATATTGTATCGTTGTTATCTTGCTCACTTGTTTGTGAGCTCTCCCAGGGTAGGGGACGATTCTTGCCTCCCTCATCTGGAATCCTTCCCATCCAAGAGGAGTCTATACATTTTTGTGGGAGTTGCATCATTTATGACTCAAAGCCCCCAGATGCTTCCTTTGCTCCCTAGGCACTGTCATTTGCGATGAAAGGGGAATAACAGTGGAGTTCCCAAGCAGTCCTGGCACCAAGAAATGGCATGCATCTGTGGTGGGTAAGTAACGTGTGTTAGCTCATCATAGTCCTGATTAGCAGACAGCCTTTGGCTTGGGCCCATCCTGTTAGTCTGGGGAGCAGAGTGCCCAAATTCCTGCAGCAATGGCATCCAACTCCCATGATGCCATGGGGATACCTGATTTGCATGAGGCCACCCAGCACGTAAGACCTATCTTTCTTTGAAAGTGTCTTATGTCAGCATCTCTGGGAAGCTTCTGGCTGCAAGTCATACCATCTCAGAGCTCAAGTCCTATCACCGAGTTGGGGTGGAAGTGAAGGGACTGAAGTGCCTTAGAAATGGACTGGTGGTCTTAACTCTGTAGCTTTGGACTGTCACTAAAATGTACTCAGCCATCCTGTCTAATCCTGCTCTGGTCTTGGCAGATCCCCTTGGTCTCGACGTGCCGAACTGCACTTACATCCTGAACCCAGAAAAGTTCACCCTGAGGGTTACCTATGAAAACTGTACCAGGAGAGTGGTAAGTCCATTGCTTTGAGCAGTTCTTGGGGAAGTACGTAGTAACCTAAGAGTTACTGGTAGTAAACTTGGCTAAGAACTTACTCTTTGGAGTAAAGCAGTGGCTTTCAACCAAGGGGGTGGTGTCTCGTGTGTGGTTCTTCTTTTCTATTATAATCTGTCCAGGCCGGTTGTGGTGGCTCACACCTGTTATCTCTGCACTTTGGGAGGCTAAGGTGGGTGGATCACCTGAGGTCAGAAGTTTCACACCAGCCTGGCCAACATGGTGAAACCCCATCTCTACTAAAAATACAAAAAATTAGCTGGGTGTGGTGGCACACACCTGTAATCCTAGCTACTTGGGAGGCTGAGACAGGAGAAGCACTTAAACCCAGGGGGTGGAGGCGGAGGTAGCAGTGAGCTGAGATTGCTCCATTGCGCTCCAGCCTTGGCAACAAGAGCAAAACTGTAGGGGGGTAGTGGCGGAGAATCTGTCCAGGGGACACTTGGCAACATCTAGAAATATCTTTGGTTATCACAACTGGGGGTAGAACAGCTGCTACTGGCATCTAATGGATACAAGCCAAGGATGCTGGCAGACAAAAAAACATTACCCAAGTCTCCTCCCCATAACACAGAATTACCAGGCCTGAGATGTCAGTGTTGAGGATGAGAAACCCTGGCATTCAAGTACTTGAGCCCTTGAGCCCTGGCTCTACCACCAATTAGGTGTTATTTCCAGCAAGTTAGTCCTTTCAAGCCTGTTTGCCTACTAGAAGATGACAGTAATGGTGCCTGCTCCATGGGGTAATAAAGACTAATGATGGTCTACAGATTAAGACCTGGTGCAGCACCTGGATACAACATATGATGAAACATGAGCTATTTTGATCTGTAAACCCCCATGTGAGATGGAAGGCTATTTTGGTGCCAGCAAATAGAAATCTGACATATAGAAACAGGTGTTAAAAGGCAAACAGCAGCCAAGCAGTAAGGTTTTTTCTATTGCCAAGCAACAGTATTGCCCAATAAGGAATATTAGGAGCAATAAAAGCAACCTGTCTAAGCAGAAGCTAGCAAGTTGCAATTTGGAAAGTTTGGATTTAATTGACTAGTTGGACATAGGCCTGGGGTGAGTTCTGGGAATCTGCATGTCTAACAGTCTACACCATCTGATTATGATGCAGGTGGTCTGCAGTATAAGCTTTGTGCAGATACATTCTTAGACCCTACTCTGTAAACAGGCTTGAACTGTAAGTCATCTGGTCCCCAGAGCCCTCTATGATCAACCAATGAAGTAATCATATGTCCTTCATGAAAAAAATCTCATAATTTCCTTCTAAAACAGACCTTCTCAACATTAGAGGGCTTAGAGTTGCATTCCCTTAGACCAAGGGTCTGCAAACCATGACCTGTGGACTGCCAAATGCAGTCCATGGCCTCTTTGTGAGGCAGGCTTGCTCTGTAGCCCAGGCTGGAAAGCAGTGGCTGCAATCATGGCTCACTACCGCCTAGAACTGCTGAGCTCAAGGGATTCTCCCATCTCAGCCTCCCGACTAGCTGGGGCTACAGGCATGCAGCACTATGCCTATCTAATCTTTTCTTGTCGAGATGGGGATTTCACCATGTTGTCCAGACTGGACTCAAACTTCTGGCCTCAAGGGTTCTTCCCACCTCAGCCTCCCAAAGCACTGGGATTATAGGCATGAGCCACTCTGCCACTGTGCCTAGTTCATGTCTTTTTTTTTCTTTTTTTTTTGTCTTCAAACTAAGAATGGGTTTTATCTTAATCTTCTTGAGACAGGGTCTTGCTGTTGTCCAGGCTGGAATGCAGTGGTGCAATCTCAGCTCACTGCAACCCCCACCTCCCGGGCTCAAGCAATCCCCTATCTCTCAGTACCACCTCAGCCTCCCCAGTAGCTGGGACAACAGGCATGCACCACCACACCCAGCTAACTTTCGTGGTGTGTTTTTTTTTTTTTTTTTTTTTTTTTTTTTTTTTTTTTGTAGAGATGGAGTCTCACCATGTTGCACAGGCTGGTCTTGAACTCCTGAGCTCAGGCAATCCGTCTGCCTCAGTCTCCCAAAGTGATTGGGTTATAGGCAATGAGCCACTATGCCCAGCTGGCTCTTAGCTTTTTAAAGTTCTTTTAAGGAAACATGCTATGGATTTCATGTGGCTCACATGAGTCTAAAACAGTTGCTAATGCATAACAGAAAAAGGTTGGCTGACACCTACTTTTAGACTGAGTTCCCTAAAGTCAGGGGTAATAGCAAGGGTGGCTCTACCCAGCACAATGGCAGCTACTTAGGTACTTAACAAGTATTCAGATAACCTTGGTAGAAGCCCCAAACCAACCCCATTCAGCCAGGACCATGGTACTGAGACATAGGGCAGACACAAGAGAAATAGAAACTGAACTCCATTTCCTGATGCTAAAACTGGCCTATCAGCGTGAGTCTTCACTAACAGATTGCAATGGGCTAGCTAGTCTCCTGGTACAGGAATGAGGTACCTTCCAGCACTTGTGGTATTTGTAACTTTAAGGGTTTTGCCACTCAGACGGGTCAGATGGTATTCTAGAATCCCATGGAGGTACAGCACTTAGTGTTCCCGCTATGCTATTTCTACACAGCATGGTGGATACCAGATGACCATCAGAGTCATGAATGACAGTGCTGCTCTAAGACATGGAGCTGTCATGTATCAGTTCTTCTGTCCAGCTATGCAAGTAGAAGAGACCCAGGGGCTTTCAGCATCTACAATCTGCAAGAAGGATTTCATGTCTGTGAGTGAAATGGGCTGACTGCTTGGGGTATATGGCTACTGTAGGGGGAATATGATGATCTAACCAGGGCTGGGCTTAGAAATCAGACCAGGATTTAATCCTGTACTTGCTAACTTTCTGTGTGATGATGGTTTAACTTTAACCACCCTGAGGCTTTGTTTTCAAGTCCAAAGTGATGGGACAATAATGCTCACCTCAGGGTGGCTCTAAGAATTGACTGAGAGTGTATACATGGTACTTGGCATATCATGCATGGCAATAGGGTTTTACTGGTAGTTGCACTCACATTAATCATCTGACAAATGGAATACATGCCATATTCTAGGCCCTACCCTAGATGCTAAGATACAATAAGTGAACAAATGGCCCAATCACATCTTCATGGATTTGGAGTCTAACATGGCTAATGTCAACCATGGACAACTAAAAAAAAACACTGATATAAAAGCAACTCCATAACAATGATAGAATTGCATGGCTTTACATAGTACCTAATTTATATGGACATAGGTCAAAAGGGTGAATGTTTAAGAATATTGTCCCGGTCAGGTGCAGTGGCTCACGCCTGTAATCCCAGCACTTTGGGAGGCTGAGGCAGGTGGATCACCTGATATTAGGAGTTGGAGACCAGCCCGACCAACATGGTGAAACCCCACCTCTACAAAATATAAAAAATTAGCCAGGTGTGGTAGTACTTGCCTGTAATCCCAGCTACTTGGAAGGCTGAGGCAGGAGAATCGCTTGAACCCAGGAGACGGAGGTTGCCGTGAGCTGAGATTTCACCATTGTACTCCAGCCTGGGTGATGAGTGAAACTCCAACTTGCAGGGGGAAAAGGTGTCCCAACTTACAACTAGAAAGGAGCTTAGATCTTCCAGCTGCCTCTTGGGATCAGAAGTTCAACAAAGTATCATGACATCTAAGGGCACAGTCAGGGTTCATGTGCTTATTCTGCATCCCACAAGCAGGCCTTTTGGTTTGATAACCACACAGCAATTTCTCTAGCAGGTGACATGAATTCAGAAACATGTACCTCCAAATCAGAGTCTTACATCACAATTCTCTTCTTCCAGTTTTCCTTGCCACGGGTCTTCTCTGGCTTGGCTGATGACAATAAGGTATGAAAGCAAATTTTAAAAATCAGACTTTAATAACCTTTAATTCTATGTTAAAGGTGATATTACCTTCAACCTGATAAATCATTAGGCTACCAGAGACTTGGTTAAGGGAGCGCCAGCCCTCTAAACAAAGCTTTTTGACTTCAGGTGACCAAACTTAAGATGGGATGGAGCATTGAGGTTGGTGATGGTGCAAGAGTCAAGACTCTAACCCTGCCAGAGGCCATGAAGGAAGGCTTCAGTCTCTTGATTGACAACCACAGGATGATCTTCCACGTGCCATTCAATGCCACTGGAGTGACTCACTATGTGGTAGGTGTGGAAGTCTTTCTTTGTGCCACCAAAGCACAGGCCATTATTCCTAAATCCAAGCATAATCTCAACCATGTCATCACATTAACTTATAATACAACCCATATAAGCATTTTAATGCCTATTAAGTGCCAAACACTTCCCTGGGTATTCACGACTATAATCCCAGCACTTTCGAAGGCTGAAGTGGGCAGATCGCTTTGAGGTCAGGAATTCAAGACCAGCCTGGCCAACATAATGAAACCCTGTCTCTACTAAAAACACAAAAACTTAGCTGGGTGAGGTGGTGCGTGCCTATAATCCCAGCTACTCAGGAGGCTGAGGTGGAAGAATCGCTTGAACCCAGGAGAGGTAGAGGTTGCAGTGAGCAGAGATTGTGCCACTGCACTCCAGCCTGGGCAACAGAGTGAGACCATTTCTCAAAAATAAACAGACATAATCCTTACCTCAATCTAGTCTCTTTCCCCATAGTCTTAAATCTATACTACAACATAGAACAAGCATACGCCTAAAAGCTTTATAGGTTAAGGGGTTCTGTTTGGGTTGTCAGTGTCCTATATTTTATAGCAAGTATTGGTGCTTTCCAGGCTAATAGTCTGAACACTGCACTAAATTAATCTCCTAAAGTACTTAGGACAGGTCCTGACACATAAATGCTCAAATGCCAACCACTTCAAGAACGGTCCTATTTCCCAGTAAGAACACAAATGGATTGAAGCTTGAAAACATTGTCTGGCTGCTGATACTTTAAAACAGTCATATGGGGTAAGGACAGATCTTATCTGCCTAGAAGTGATTGGCTATAGGTGATCTAGACAACATTCTTCCAGATGTTAGAACAAGGTTAAAATAAGTGTACCTCCAGAACAGTCATTAGACAAATGCTTAAATCCTACTTGTGTCAAAGTAGTGCCCATTACTTGGATATATTCTTGCCGAGAGGATATTCTTACTGGTTAGAGATTCAAGTAACCAATGTTCTTTCTCCCCCAGCAAGGTAACAGTCATCTCTACATGGTGTCTCTGAAGCTTACATTTATATCTCCTGGACAGAAGGTGATCTTCTCCTCACAAGCTATTTGTGCACCAGGTAAGGTCCCAGATAGCTGCAACCTCAGTGTGGGAGACACTGTCCTAGAAGCTTAATCAAGGCTGGTAATGGGCATTCTGTTGTCATTCCTTCTAGATCCCGTGAACTGCAATGCCACACACATGACTCTCACCATACCAGAGTTTCCTGGGAAGCTTAAGTCTGTGAGCTTTGAAAACCAGAACATTGACGTGAGCCAGCTGCATGACAATGGAATTGATCTAGAAGCAACAAATGGCACAAAATTGCATTTCAGCAAAACTCTGCTCAAAACAAAAGTATGTTCAATCGTCAACCACTGAACTCTACTGGGTCCTTGCTTGAAGTATACTCTTGTGGGTAGTCCTGATATGGCTGATAACTTGCCCGTGAGTTCTAATTGCCAACATAACAGATTCAAATGCCAGAAGGCCTCATTTGATCATCTTGCATAAGTGAAATACCAAGTAACTGATGTTCATTCTCTAAACATAAAACCTCTTTAAGTTCTGCCATGAAAAATCATCTAAGTGTTTCTAAGTCTGAAAACCGTCTAAGGCCCCAACTGAGTAGTAGCAACTACTTGTCAAATACCTAATGATGAATCTGTCCTGGTCAGCGAACAGGACACCTTGATCTAAACAAAAGGGTCCCGTAGTGTCGCTACTGAGGTTAGCCTTCACTAGAACTGCCAGGGATACCGCCAGATGATAACCTTAGGTTGGGAGTACATGTTATACAATACCATTTTATAACATCTGTAGAGTCCTTTTGACTCAGACCTGGCTTGGCAGAGGATTCCACTATTCTTTGGAATTTGATCTGTTAATTCAAACTTTAGTGCCTCGTACAAAGAGTACAGTGCTAGGTACTCCAGGGCATGAGTTTAAAGCAATAAATCTGCCTGGGAATACATCCAGATCTGAGGAAGTAATAGGGTCTCTCTTGTTTTGACTTAAAGGGAACCCAGATAAGTCTGGAGTGTGTCCTGCAAGTATTCAGTGGACTTCCTTGCTGTTTCCCTGTGACAGTTCCGGGCCCCAACAGGCTGTGGCTGCTAATTGACATTCTTTTCTTATTTCAGTTATCTGAAAAATGCCTACTCCATCAGTTCTACTTAGCTTCACTCAGGCTGACCTTTCTCCTTCAGTCGGAGACAGTATCCATGGTGATCTATCCTGAGTGTGTCTGTGAGTCACCAGTTTCCATAGGTAAAGACCTTTTATTAAAACCATATTCTACCTTTTTTCTCCCTTGGCTCTTCTTATACATGTGGGCAAATGTATAGAAGGTCAGATTCTGATGTATTGCTTATAGACTGAAGAAACTAAAGACTAGTCAGATTAGAAACAGTCTAGCTGCTATTATGGGGTCCTAAGTATGATATTTTTAAGATCCCTTACATAGGTAGATTTTATGGTAACTGCCCCATGGTTAAGTAACCTAGATATTTTGGCTTAGGAGCCTGAACCTGCCATCTAGGTAAGAATGTTCAAACTTCTAGTTAGAATTAAAAGTTTAAGTCCCGCCTGACCCCGAAATTCCTACAAATTCTTAAAGAAATACAGAGTGAATATCTCTTGTTTAGCATTGCCTCCACCATGTGCTTCTGTTTAATTTGATCTGCACAAGTCAGATCAAATAGAAAAATCAGTTCCTGCCTCAGTTTCTCCCCGAACTACTCAGGATTTGTGAGTATACAAAGAAAGGATACAATAACATAGGTGCTGTACTTAAAGCCACATTAAGTTTAATTTTAAGTCAACTTCTGCCCTTCATCAGGATTCTCACTGGTCTTATGCTATATAGCACCTCTTCCTATGTCTACTGGTCCCTCTTTTGGATGAAAAGTCTTCATCTCACATAGAACAATCAACTAACTTCAGCTCCCTTTGTAATTAAAGCTGCAGATCAAGGTTCCCTCACAAAGTCTTAAGACAAATTCTGACGCCTCCTAAATTAGAATTTCTCCCTTGTAGTATATCAGGTTGGGAGATGACAGTATCACAGGGCAGACAACCTTATTTTCTCTAAACTTTCACCGCTGTCTAGTTACAGGGGAGCTGTGTACCCAGGATGGGTTTATGGACTTCGAGGTCTACAGCTACCAAACACAACCAGCTCTTGACCTGGATACTCTGAGGGTGGGAAACTCATCCTGCCAGCCTGTCTTCAAGGCTCAGTCTCAGGGGCTGGTACGGTTCCACATACCCCTGAATGGATGTGGAACGAGATATAAGGTTAGTACTGGCGGATGGCACGAGGTTAAGACTCATCTTTGATATAACTGGCTGCTAACCCACTATCTCTGACCTTTAAGTTTGAAGACGATAAAGTCATCTATGAAAATGAAATACACGCTCTCTGGACGGATCTTCCTCCAAGCAAAATATCTAGAGACAGTGAGTTCAGGTGAGATAAAATTGCTATTTGACTCTTAAGCTCTAGTTTAAACTCAAGCAATTTTTTAACCTGAAGTTCTCTGTACCTACCCTCCCTCCAAACTCTTACAGAATGACAGTGAAGTGTTCTTACAGCAGGAATGACATGCTACTAAACATCAACGTTGAAAGCCTTACTCCTCCAGTGGCCTCGGTGAAGTTGGGTCCATTTACCTTGATCCTGCAAAGCTACCCAGGTAAGAGATTGTGGTCTGTGAAATTGCTTAAATAATTTCAAACTTCCCCCTAAAATTAACATCCTGATACTGCCAGACTAATGGAGCGGTGGTGACCTATGTACACGTGTTGCAGCCATTAACTACTTGAATACTATTCAATTTCAGACAATTCCTACCAACAACCTTATGGGGAAAACGAGTACCCTCTAGTGAGATTCCTCCGTCAACCAATTTACATGGAAGTGAGAGTCATAAACAGGGATGACCCCAACATCAAGCTGGTCTTAGATGACTGCTGGGCGACGTCCACCATGGATCCAGACTCTTTGCCCCAGTGGAACATTGTTGTGGATGGGTAGGTACTCCCTGTACCATCAGTTTGCCCAGCTAATCCATCAGAACTTGCCAGTAATGGGAATAAACCCTCTTGGGGTTTAGAGGGGCATTCAGCCATGTTAGACCCAGATTTAGTCCTTGTTTTCTAATCAGGACTCAATGCTGCCTTCTGTGTTGTTTTTGTTTTGAGATGAGGTCTCATTCTATCACCCAGGCTGGGGTGCCGCAGCATGATCTTAGCTCACTGTAGCCTCTGCCTCCTGGGTTCAAGCAATTCTCCTACCTCAGCCTCCCGGGTAGCTGAGATTACAGGGGCACACCACCAAGCCTGGCTAATTTTTGCAATCTTAATAGAGACAGGGTTTCACCATGTTGGCCAGGCTGGTCTGGAACTCCTGACCTCAGGTGATCCACCCACCTTGGCCTCCCAAAGTGCTGGGATTACAGGCGTGAACCACCACGCTTGGCCGCATGCTGCCTTCCAATCACCTTTTGAATCTTAAGGAATGAATTCCAAAGCCCCAGAAAGTCTGACTCTACTACGGGTGTTGATCATCTGGAAAGACTGATCTCCAGCCTCCCATCTGTTGAACACCTACCGTATGCCAGGCACAGTGCTATGTATTCCACATCCACTAGTTGTCCTAGTCATTTTATTGCATGAAGAAACCCCAGCTTGCTGCCTAGACAACCAGGCCAAAACAGTACTTACACAGTGGAGCTTGGATTAGAATATCCATATGACTCTAGAATCTGAGCACTATGATACTCTGAGGTTGTAGCCACACACTTGTACACATAGGTGTTCATCCTCATAGCTCTCCTGCCGTGTCCTGTCCTACAGCTGGATCTTACTCATTCTTACAGAATAGTGTGTACTTGGCTAAAACTACTTTTGCTTTCTTGAAGCTGTGGTAGCTCAGTTGCTAAGCCTTTTTTGTTTTGTTTTGTTTTTTGTTTTTTTGTTTTTTTGTTTGTTTGTTTTTGTTTTGAGATGAAGTCTCGCTCTTGCGTCCCAGTCTGGAGTGCAATGCCATGATTTCGGTTCACTGCAACCTCCGCCTCCCCAGTTCAAGCGATTCCCCGGCCCCAGCCTCCCAAGTAGCTAGGATTACAGGCACCTACCACCACATCCAGCTACTTTTTGTATTTTTAGTAGAGACAGGGTTTTGCCATGTTGGCCAGGCTGGTCTTAGACTCCTGACATCAGATGATTTGCCCACCTTGGCCTCCCAAAGTGCTGAGATTACAGGGGTGAGCCACCGTGCCTGGCCAAGAAACCAGTGTCTTCTGAAATGATATAACTTGTACTTCTCATTTAGTTGGCAAACAGGTACTGCTAAAATTGTTAAAATATAACTAGCCTATACAACTTATGACTTCATAGACATTATAGGTCAGGTAAGAAATGCTGAGTAAAACGAAGATGCTGGTAGAAGGTAAATGTGGCAATAGTCCTGAAGACATTACATATGACTAAATCTGGGCAGACGTTGAATTTCACTCCAAGATGCATGTGACTGACATCCCTCCCTGGTGCATACCTCCTAGCTGTGCATATGAGCTGGACAACTACCAGACCACCTTCCATCCAGTCGGCTCCTCTGTGACCCATCCTGATCACTATCAGAGGTTTGACATGAAGGCTTTTGCCTTTGTATCAGAAGCCCATGTGCTCTCTAGCCTGGTAAGTGATTCAGAAGTCACTAGGGACAGGTTAAGTGTTAGTGCATCGATTCCATTTAACTCTCTTCTGTCACCAGGTCTACTTCCACTGCAGTGCCTTAATCTGCAATCGACTCTCTCCAGACTCCCCTCTGTGTTCTGTGACCTGCCCTGTGTCATCTAGGCACAGGCGAGGTAAAAACTTCAAATTCCTGTTTCTGTGAGTCTAATTCAAAGCAAGTATCAACTTTTCAGAATAGAAGATCTTAAAGACAGGTATAACTCACTCTTCACTTAGTGCCAAGAGCTCTTGTTGGCCCAGTCAAAACTTCTTGGCCCAGTCTAGCTTATTCATGTGACAGGTCTAAGATGAACAGGTTCTTTTTTTTTGACAGAGTTTTGCTCTTGTTGCCCAGGCTAGAGTAAGATGGTGTGATCTTGGCTCACTGCAACCTCTGCCTCCCGGGTTCAAGTGAAGTGATTCTCCTGCCTCAGCCTCCCAAGTAGCTGGGATTACAGGCACCCACCACCACACCCAGCTAACATTTATTTTTATTTTTATTTTTATTTTTATTTTTTTGAGATGGAGTCTCGCTGTGTCGCCCAGGCTGGAGTGCAGTGGCCAGATCTCAGCTCACTGCAAGCTCCGCCTCCCGGGTTTATGCCATTCTCCTGCCTCAGCCTCCCGAGTAGCTGGGACTACAGGTGCCTGTCACCATGCCTGGCTAGTTTTTTGTATTTTTAGTAGAGACAGGTTTCACCATGTTGGCCAGGCTGTTCTCAATCTCCTGACCTCAGGTGATCCACCCACCTCAGCCTCCCAAAGTGCTGGGATTATAGGCATGAGCCACCACGCCTGACCCCAAGAATCCATCCCACTTTTACAGGAAAGGGCATAACCTATCCTGCAAAGGCAGGACAAACCACATGGACAAAATATTCCAGAGAGCTTCTACTTCTAAGCATTCCATTGACACACCTCTCGAACCACTATTCCAGAGGCTAAACACAAACTTGATCCCCTGTCTCCAGCCACAGGGGCCACTGAAGCAGAGAAAATGACAGTCAGCCTCCCAGGACCCATTCTCCTGTTGTCAGACGACTCCTCATTCAGAGGTATGGAACTAAAACTTGGAGTACTTCCTGGATTCAAGTTCTTAGCTTTTTATGCCAAGGGGTCAGTGTTTACATATACCATGTACCCATGGTAAGTCTAAATAGAAGAATAAAAGGCTAAGTCTCTTCCCAGAGGTAGGCTTCTATTAAGTCTCCTGTGTACTCTTCTAGAAATCACTTCAACACAAGTAGGATCCTATCTTCTACCTACTGATCTAGAACTTGGTGTCTAACCTGTCTTATCTACCTTATATCTGTACAAAGAACCATATAGGATTCCATGTGGCTCTACCTTAGTCATGATCCTCATTCATGGATATCTATAGGTTTATTTCTAGTGTTGTCCTCAGTCCATAGTAGAATACTTTTTTTTCTTTTTGAGATGAAGTTCCGTTCTTGTCGCCCAGGCTGGAGTGCAATGGTGTGATCTTGGCTCATTGCAACCTCTGCCTCCCGGGTTCAAGTGATTCTCCTGCCTCAGCCTCCCAAGTATCAGGGATTACAGGCACCTGCCACTGTGCCTAGCTACCTTTTTTTTTTTGTGTGTATTTTTAATAGAGATGGGGTTTCACCATGTTGGCCATGTTGTCCTTGAACTCCTGACCTCAGGTGATCCGCCCGCCTCAGCCTCCCAAAGTGCTGGGATTACAGGCGTGAGCCACCACACCTGGCCACATACACATTAAAAAATCCTCTTAAGTCTCTAACTACTATACAAGAAATTCAAGGTACATTTCTAGTAGGATTAGGTCAGAGCATGTACATCTTAACATGCTATGGCCAAACTTAAGTCTGTATTAGTTTATATTCCTGTTATCACATATCCTTACCTGAGATAGTCTTAATGAGCAACCTGTGGGATCACACCCTCGGGACAGCTAACCACATCGACTAGCATGAAGATGTTGTACTAAACTCTCAGGTTCTTCCCTAGGTGTTGGCTCATCTGATCTAAAAGCAAGTGGGAGCAGTGGGGAGAACAGTAGGAGCGAAACAGGGGAGGAGGTTGGCTCACGAGGTAAGTTTATTCAGTGTTGCACATTTCTGAAATAAGCCTGTTGAAGGCTTAGTTTTACCCCCTTCTCTGGGGAGCCTTATGTAAGGCTTCAACTTACCCTTACTTAAAAATACTGAAGACTCAAATGTCGTCTTCCTTTGTAGATGTTATGGACACCAAAGGGCACAGGACTGCTGGAGATGTTGGTTCCAAAGCTGTGGCTGCTGTGGCTGCCTTGGCAGGTGTGGTGGCAACTCTAGGCTTCATCTGTTACCTGTATAAGAAAAGGACTGTGTCAAATCACTAAATGGGCTTCTAAATAAAGCAGTCAAAATAAGTCTCTTGCCTTCTACTTTCTCATTAAGATTAGATGACAAGGGATCATTTCTTTTGTTCCTCAGTGTAGAGGCAGTACCTCAGCAATCCTCTGGGCAGGATTTGTGTATAGATACAAATAGAGAAATTCGTGGTATAATTGTTTCCTGTCATTTGGCCCCTTCTGATTCTCTAACCCTAATACATGAGTCGTCTGACACTCCCAGTCAACAGTAGAGCTGAGCTACAGCCCACCTCTGGGGGTACACTTGAGTCTACAATCTTACATAGCATAAGAAGCCAGCAAGCTACCCACAATTACTGGCAGAAATCCCACCCTCCTTTTTTAAGGGAAGGGAAACCAGACTTTCCTAAGAAAGTAATAAGAACCTACTTCAAGATAATTCCTAACTCAAGTTACACTCAAGCTTACAACTTTCCTGAGCTTAAAAGGACTTAGTTACCTTCCCACTTAAACTAAAGACAAACAATCTTTCTTTGGTAAGGAAAGGAGTACTAAAGTGCCAGAGTCCTAAGACCCAATTATAACATTCCAAGAATCAGACTCCACCATTCAACTGAGCCTAGAGTGAGTTTTCCACTACCTGTATTTGATCTTGACCCTCTCCTGAGTCCTTCTTCCTGAGGGTAGCCAGTCTTATTCTAAGCAATTATGTCATCAACATGACTAGTGTCTGTTTTATATTGCAGCTCTTAGAGACCTTCAAGATATATGGAAACTCACTTGTATTCTAGAAAACTTGAGTCTAAAATTTTTGCCAGGAAATACTTCAAATCTACATATGGCAGGAAGAATAAAAGTGATGAAAGCTTCTAGTGGTTGGATTTAAATGTCAGCTCAGTCATACTCTTGGGTTTCTCAAAATCTAACCTTGAGGTTGAATATTGTGATGCCTATCTAGTCATCTTGTGGTTTTCTATAGGCACGATCTCAGCTCATTGCAACCTCCGCCTCCTGGGTCCAAGCGATTCTCCTGCCTCAGCCTCCTGAGTAGCTGGGATTGCAGGCACCTGCCACCAAGCCTGGCTAATTTTTATATTTTTAGTAGAGATGGTGTTTCACCATGTTGGCCGGGCTGGTCTTGAGCTCCTGACCTCAGGTGATCTGCCTTCCTCGGCCTCCCAAAATGTTGGGATTACAGGCGTGAGACACCGTGCCCGGCACCCATTCTAGAGTTCTGCCACACAGACTTAAAAGGTAGCTTTCTAAATCCTTTGGTGAGGTCTTACAGGTAAGACTCTGATGTGGGGAAAGAACCACACATACCTTATATAGAAGGTCTGGCATTTCTAGAGTAATAGGGTCAAAAGCTCAAATTGTCTCATCAAAACCCTTGTTTGGATCTTGCTTTTAAGGATATAAGACATTCTGCTAATGATAAAGCAAGAAATAGTCTTAGACTCAAAATTGTGTGACTTTATCAAGTTGCATTGTATATCATAACTAAATCTCATGTACCATGCTTTCTAATGGCATTTTAAAAAATGGCCACTTAAATGGCTTCCTGACCCTGAATGACACCTACCCCCTGTTCCATGTTTAGGAATTACATCCTAATTCCTAGAGCCTGTGAATATTACTTTTACATGGCAACATGGACTCTGCAGTTGTGACTAAGGGTCTTGACATGCTAAGATCATCCCGGTGGGCCCAATCACAAATGTCTTTATAAAACAGGAAGGTCAGCAAGGCACGGTGGCTCATGCCGGTAATCCCAGCACTGTGGGAGGCTGAGGCATGTGGATCACCTGAAGTCAGGAGTTCAAGACCAGCGTGGCCAACATGGTGAAACACCGTCTCTACTAAAAATACAAAAAATTAGCTGGGCATGGTGGCAGGTGTCTATAATCCCAGATACACAGGAGGCTGAGGCAGGAGAATTGCTTGAACTCAGGAGGTGGAGGTTGCAGTGAGCCGAGATTGCGACATTGCACTCTAGCCTGGGCAAGAAGAGTGAAACTCCATCTCAAAAATAAAAACAAGGGTCAGAATCGGATGTATCAATGGAAGTGGAAATTGGAATGATACAGGGTCACAGAAAACAGGCAGCCTCCAGTGGGGAAACAAGCAAATATCTTCCCATACAGCCTCTAGAAAGAGTACAGCTCTGCTGTACCACTTTAGACTTCTGACCTCCAGAATTGTGAGATTGTTTTGTGCCATTCAGCTAACTTGTTACAGCAACAATAGGAAATTAAAACACTGAGTCACTACCCACAACTTGAAAAACATGGCTTAAAAATGCACATTTTACAGATGAGCAACTTGAGCCCTAGAGAAGCTTGTCCAGGATGTCATAGCCCCTTGATTACAGAGCTAGAGCCTCTCAGCTGCAAGTCGGTCCACTTGTGTAGAGTCACAAGTCGGGACCAAGGTCCCCTGGGTCTCAAGGCAGCTCACAGCGTGACTTGGTTCTGATGTGTTTGCCAAAAATGCTAAAGCAGAACCTTGAGAGTGAAAAGCCAAGCTGGTGTGGAGCAGCTGCCGGGATGAACACTTGTTGCCATGGTAGCCTGGGAGCAGTTGACTAAAGTCGTGTTCTCGCCTTCTGAAAGTATGCATCCTACTATATATGGGGGAGGCAGCCTCCTCAGACAGGAACTGTGTGGGAAGAGAGTCGAGCTTCAATCCCGAGAGACTGCTGCTTCAACCACGCTAGCGTGCTTGCAATCTCCCTTATCACGTAGTGATGGGCTGTAATTGTCATACAGGTGTCAAGAGTAGAATGATGGAGCTTTGGAGTTCTAATAGTTTGAACAGTTCTGATTGATGGTGGAGGTTGCAGGAGTTGAAAACAGACTTGTGTGCCCTGGGAAGCCACCTGTAATGTAATGTACTACTTTCCCCTGCCCTATTTTGCATTAGGAAGTTCTGTGGGATGCATAGGGCTCTAGAGCAAGAGTTGGGTTTGGGTTCTGGATCTACATCCCCCTGGCTGCGTGGCCTTGGGCAGACAGAACAATCTCTGAGCCTGCTTCCACATCTGTAAAAATGGAATACAACCTAATTTGGAAGTATGTGAGGGCTCAACGAGATAACCGTTGTATTGATGTGTGCTCTGCCCAGCCAGCATTGGAGCATCTCAACATCAAGAAAATAGGAGTGTTCTAAGAACTCTAAATAAAAGCTCAGATAACATTATGGACAATAACTGTGGCTTGAATAAGTCTGTGTGCTAGACCAAGGCATATGTAATCAAGTGCATGTCTGGTAGAATGTACACCTGATTATACAGACCTCGGCCTAGACACCATCTACCAAACTAGAATCTTTAAGGAGACACCACCTACAAAACTAGACACTATCAGCCGGGCATGGTGGTTCACTCCTGTAGTCCCAGCACTTTGGGAGGCTGAGGCAGGCAGATCACCTGAGGTCAGGGGTTTGAGACCAGCCTGGCCAAACATGGTAAAACACCGTTTCTACTAAAAATACAAAAACTTAGGTGGGCATGGTGGCAGGTGCCTGTAATCCCAGCTACTTGGGAGGCTGAGGCAGGAGAACCGCTTGAACCCGGTAGGCGGAGGTTGCAGTGAGCTGAGATTATGCCACTGCACTCCAGCCTGGGTGACAGAGCTAAACTCCATTTCAAAACAAAACAAAACAAAACAAAACAAAAAACAAAAACTTCCACACCATCTACTAAACTAGAATCTTTAGGGGGTGGAGTCTAAACATGTTTAGGCTCTATAGGAGGCTAAATGATGGCCCCAAAGATATTCATGTGCTAACCTCCGGGACTTGTGAATTTTCCCTAATATGGCAAAAGGGACTTTGCAGTAATTAAGGTAAAATGTTGAGATGGGGAAATTATCTAAATTATCCAGGTAGGCCATGAATATAACTGCAGGTATGCTTGTAAGAGGGAGTTTTGACTATGGGGAGAAGGCAGTACGATGATGGAAGCAGAGGTTGGAGTGATGCACTTTGAGAAGGACAAAGGGCTATAAGCCATGGGATACAGATGAGCACTAGAGGCTGGAAAAATGTAAGGAAATGGATCCTCTCCTAGATCCTCCAGAAGGAACCAGCTCCACTGACACCTCGGCTTTAGTCCAGTGAAAGTGAGTTCAAACTTCTGACCTTCAGAATTGTAGCAGAATAAATGCACGCCGTTTTAACCCACTAAACTTGTAATAATTTGTCTAAGCGGCGAAAGGAAACTAATCCATGCTCCTCAGATGACTCGGACACATACCCCTGGATGGAAATCACTATGCTAGTGAAGGCAGAGGCTATCACACTTCATCACAGACAACACGTTACAAACACGCAGTGTTGCTTGCACATAGAATCTAAAAGCATGGGGAGCAGCTTGTAGCTTCAGGAAGTTGGCACTTAAGTTTCAACTAGTTCCATTTCCAAACAGTGAGGTATTGTAGTTGAAAGAAGAGGCATTGCTGAGAATACAGGTCCTGAGACAGGGATGAGAAAAGAAGAACTTTGATCTGAGAAATATAAGTCCTTCTAAACTATCAGGCCCAGAGACATTAAGATGAGACAGTCGACTGAGCGCAGTGGCTCACGCCTGTAATTTGGGAGGCCCAGGCGGGCAGATCACGAGGTCAAGAGATTGAGACCATCCTGGCCAACATGGTGAAACCCCACCTCTACTAAAAATACAAAAATTAGCTGGGCGTGGTGGCATGCGCCTGCAGTCCCAGCTACTAGGCAGGCTGAGGCAAGAGAATCGCTTGAACCCGGGAGGCGGAGGTGGCAGTGAGCCAAGATCACATCACTGCACTCCAGCCTGGCAGGAGAGTGAGACTCCATCTCAAAAAAAAAGAAAAAGAAAAAAGATGAGACAGTCATCACATCCTACTCCTCCCTTGAGCTAAGTATCCGTCTCTTGAAACTGCTTGCTATTGCCACAAGTAGCTGTAAGTTAATCTAATAATGCTGCACCACACATATAACCACACCCTATAGCTTAATAGTGTATAGCCAATCATACATCAATGTTATTTCTGAAAAACACTGAGAATTCCTGACAAACAACT